TTCCATTTAAGAAAATCAATGTAGCCTTGACCTGACCTTGGCTACGCAACCCAAGGTCAAACTGATAGGATCAATAAATAGATATTTTTAAACGATATAACTTTTGTCTGAAACACTTTTCTGTAAAACTTATATTTCCCGCGATATTTAGGTGTCCCGATCTTTTTGGGACACTCTGTATATCTTTTCATATTTATAATTATTATTATAATTTACATATACATTTTTAAAATAATTAGAATATGTATAAAATAATTATAACATTTAAAAAATTAAAAAAAATTATGGAAAATATGAATCTTCATCGATAATGTTGATTGCTAACATTAATATAAATCTTTTAAAAATCTGAGAAATTAATATTAGTTTTGCAAAATGCACATCACAAATATTTGAATATAACGTATAAGCAAAGTAAAAATCGTCATCATATATTTCACTGAAAAAAACTTATGTAAAAACTTTCTAGAAAATACAGTAAATAAAAGCAATGTGTTTCGGACATACAGAAAATCCTTTCGTCTCTATCTCAGACTCAAATAAAATTCTCTCTTTCGTGTGTCCCTTTGGAAACCGCTGTGCATTATTTCATTGTAATGTGATTTAAAAGAGAAAGAGAGAGAGAAAGAGAGAGAGAGAGAGAGAGAGAAAGAGAGAGACAGAAATTTTATATTGCAGTACTATCTCTCATAATTTTGACATTTCAAAAGATTTTTATAGACATTATTATATTATATATGTAACAAATGTATATCATGAATATATGTAACAAAATGTATATCAAAATTGTTAAGATTAATATTATTATATTATATTAATTTGTTTAGTGATGTGTTTACATTTTTTCATACAGATCTTACAAATACCACGATTTATCAACTGCCCACAAAATTTTGTTACGGAATTGAAGTTAAAATGTACCACGATACACAAAGTGCACTCATAATTTTATTGCCCAACATTGTGTAGCAGTCGCTATTGGTTTTCGATGAAAATGACCATATACGTGCACATTGCCGATGATCGATAATCGAAAGCTTGTTCTTTGTGGGGTCATCTACGATGCAGTCACGAGACAAAGCATCTCGGCGCTTGCTCAATGAAAAAAAAACTGATAATGGTATCAGTATTATTATCCTCTCCCACAACACTTTTAACATTTTTATTTAAAAACACAGTTGAGCTCACTTGCCCATTTTATCTATATCAAAACGGATATTAATAAGGTCATGCTTTTTTTTAATTAAAAGAAAGAGATTAATTAATAAAATTCTTTCAAAAAGAATTCGATGCTCAATAATAAAGTACAAAAAAAAATTTCTGCAATAAATTAATTTTTTTTATTCAGCTTGTTATAATTAGAAAATTCTGCAATGTTAATAGTGTAGCAGAAAATATAAAAATTCCTATTAAATTGAACATTAAGCTCGAACATAAAAATACGAATAAATTAAACTAATTAAAGCTATGCGGAGAATGAAACGATGAAATTATTGTCGTGTAATAGGAGCCCGTTCGTAACCATCCATTCCAATTTTTCATAAAACTTGATAAACCATAATAAGACATTCAAAATTAATTTTCAATATGAGAGATTTTATTCTTTTGCACTCGACCAAAAATTAAATTGTAAATAATATATTATAAAAAAAATTATTGTTTGGATTATCACTATTTATTAAAGTTTTCTTTTTTACAAAAAAATAAAAATAATCAAAAATATAACAAATATTATTACTTATGTAAAAATTTAGGTAAATGTCACAACATAAAATAAATAAAGTAATAACAATTCTTGTTTTCACATTATTTCTAAATTGCAAAAACATGTAAAATATTTTTAGGAATCATATAATATAATTTAATTTAATCTTTTATGTATAACTTTTTAAATTTTTAACATAATCAAATGAATAAATTAGATGAAATAAATCTTATTTATAAGGATTTTAATAAATATAGTTAATAAAACTAATTTCATTATAAAATAACTTAGTAAAAAATTTAAAAACTTCGTAATTATTTTCATAGTATCTATAATTGTGTAGTTACACTGAGATGAGAGGATTAATTTACCATGCAAATTAAAGTCCGCATTTATAAAGTCAATTCAACTCCCGAACTCTAGATAGGATTGTACTGATCTTATATTAAGTTTGTCTAACAAATCGTAAGCCGGTTCAGTTTATGAAGTAGAATAAAAATCATAACGGCCAGAACCGGAGCTACTAGTCTGAGGCAGACATCAGAGAACGAACCTTTCGTCCAACCTGAAGGACGACCTAGACAGGTCGCTCCATGCGCTCATGCTCCGGCTGCGTCTCCTGCAAGACTGCTGTGGCATCAGCAGTCTATTGCTGCTCCTACGCCTGGTGGACGCCAGATTCTCTGCTTGGAAATACACTCTAGGCGCTTTCTGCTGGGACACGCTCGGTGGCGTCGTGGTCGGCGTGACCGCCGTCGAGGTATGGAGTTCCGGCAGGGCCTCGTAGTCCCATGCTCTGGCGCCCATATCGAGCAGGGGCACCGACGAAGCTGCGCCACGGCTGGAACCACGGAGCGGGTCCCGAGGCTTGCGGTAACGAAACAGGGCGAAGATCTTACAGCACGCCGACTCGTTCTCCTTCTTTCTCTTCCCGTCCTTCGCTGCCGGTAGCTTCACTTTGAAATGATCGCAGGACGTGTGCGATCTACCGGCGACGTCCGGCCACATCGTTCCTTCGACCACATCGTCGTAAATCTTCTCCAATCATTTAGCTGAGCTGTTATAATTAGTCGACCGAGCACAATGAACAAGTACGAAGAAATGCATAATTGATCGATCACGGAGAGGAAGAGTTGATGAATCTTGAATGAGCATCTTGAGGAAATGATCCGCTGCCATGTAACGATGATCAATTGACTTATTATAAAAGATTGAGAATGTATCTACCTCTTCTATGATTGTAATTATAACATTGTGGCTTCAAAGTTACGACGTGAATACTTGTATAACTTTGTAGCATTTCTGTATTTCTCATATTCTTTGACTAATCCGTTAATCTTGCACAAGCAGAACTTTAATATGTTGTAAATATATTTCGTGCATTCATTGTTTATTTACTTATGAAAATATAATTTTAAGAGAAGTCACTGTTGACGAAGACCCAAAATTTGCACGAAAACGATGCAATAAATTAGCAAAGTCCTCCTGTTTCCAGTTTTTAAAGAGGTTTCAAAGGAAGATCCGACTAGATTATTACTCTGCTTCCTTGAGACATAGCAGGTAATGAAATTGTGGAGAAAACGCAAGCTTAAAGTTGTTTCGCTATTTGTAAAAGTTGATTACGTTCCAGCTAGAGGAAGTATTGTCTTTCTTACAGGAGCGACTGGAAACACTTGATAAAAGTAAGTCGATGAAAGAGAAGTGAAGGTTAACCTTGTGCTTATTCGTGCACGGCGAAAAGGACCTTCAAACGATCTGAATATTTCCGATCTTCCAATCCACCAAGTAAATGTGTATGAGAAGCAATTTTAACTAAGTTTCCGGTTCTTCAAAGAGCGAAGGAAATGCCTGCTTCTCACAGTTGCGTTTTTCCCTCAAAATAAGATGGAAGACGATACAATTGTAGATGCGGTAACTTCGCAAGGTAGTTTTACGTATCTAAAGTATTTTCTGCCTTATTGAGAATACCTGCAAGCTATTGTACGAACCGCTATAGTTATTAGTTATATTAGTTGATATTACTTCAACTAATAAGCCCCTAATACGCCGTTAACAACATTCATAAAAATTCCGAAAAGCTTCGTAGCTCTGAGCATTAATTTCTCTATTAATTTCTTAAATTATTTACTGACTCCCACGCAACACAGCGTTCACAGCGTTAAACATTTACTTTTTAAAAGAAGTTTCTCAAAATTCTAACTTCCAACGAGCAACAAATCTCGTGTGACTAACGTTTTAATGTTAATAAATACCATCGACAATATTTATTTCTTTTGTTGACTATGTGGGTAACAATCCGCTACTTTTGATCACCGAAAATGCATCAAAAAGCGTAGCTTAGATAATAATAACGAGCGTAAAACGTGTAACTTGAGCTTTTTGTTCTGTTCTTGCTCAACTGTTATCAAACTTCGATTAACGTAAAGGAGAGTTTCATGAAGCTTGCTTTTTTGCATCACTACTTTTTGACATCAAGTGACGCTCACGTCATCATTGAACGCCGCAAGATCTTTGCAAAATCATCGCAAGGTAACAATAATTGATCGCAAATAACAGTGAAACATTAACGCACCTTGCGCAACTACATAAAAGTTCGACAGGAAATCTCTTGGAATCGTTTTGTATTGATTCGCACTTCTCTCTCGTTTGCGAAATAAAAATATATTTAGGTTAAAGCATTTTACGAGATGTTGAATCTCACACTTCTTATCTTTCGAGTGAAAGTTAAAAGAGTTTTCTGGTGTACCATTTGCGTGGTCACTTTTTTATTAAAGTAAAGCAACGTTTATTTTAAACTTAAATTACTTTACGTACTTTTTATGCATTACAAACTATTTATGTGAATTATTAACGATCGTAGTCACACGCGCAAGGATTTAATCGCATAAAAAGTGTTGGAACACCAAAAAAAAGAGGTAATACACCGCTCATTTCTTGAATAAACTATTATTTTCACTACTATCGATCTTTTTTTGCTTAGCAAAAAATGCATATTTTATACAGTGAGAGTTCAGGGGATTTTCCGAGAGAGTCGAAATAAAATAATGTTTAGCAAACGCACCGCATTCTGATTGATTGCAGTTACTGTCGCCACGACGGCGGTCACAAAAGCATTTCGAGACACACCGTTTGCACGACACCGTTTCCGTTCCGTCTGACCTGAATGACGTCACATGGTGGTCGAAGGTCACGGTCAACAGATACAACACAACTACAACGACGAAGATGCGCTCGTTTGCAAATTACACAAGTTCAACTTTAACATCTCGATGAGATTAGTTTCATCAGTTTCATCTCACTAAATGTCTTACTTAACAAGCTTCTGAATACTCATATCTTTCCGTGTACCTCAAGTTCAGATTGCGTTTGTGTTAATTTAGATTACACTTCAGATTTCATCGATCCACAACCACTTGAGTATCTCAGATACTTCATCGGATAACAATTAAATTTTGCATACATGAATATACACTTTTTTGCCTGTTGAAACTCCAGTTCAACGCGCGGGCAAAATAACAACACCAATAACACAGGTGTTTTTTTGTCTAGACAATAAGATCTTTGGATCGCATAGAAATCAGATTTTTTATGTCAAGACATCGTTTAGAGTACAATAAAACCACTTGTCTTCTTAAGAATCTGCTTTTCGTCAATCATTTAAATTTTATTTTTAATAATATCTCTGTTATTCTTAATAATATTTCTGTTGTCTACTTTTTTTATGTTTCGGAAACGTGTCTCAAAATTCGCATCTGTCAAATGTTCAGTCATTTGAAAATCCTTCTTCATGTGTTAGCTAAATTTCTATTATGAGTATGAAAATGTTCGATTCATCACATAGGTATCGAAGATATTCTTCAAGATTCATCAATGACAATGATATCGAAACTCCACGTTCTCGTTTAAAAACCAATAAGCCGTGGTAGACTTGCAGCAGGTGGCAGCGTCTCACGAGGATATCGTTCCACTATCACTTCTAGAGGCGGTTAAGGGTGGATCGTTATCCACCTCGTCGTCCTCCGATTCGCCGCACTCAGGAACAGGTGACTGCATTGTTAGGATTTCAATGGGACCGGGATGCGAACAACAAGTGATGCGATTCGCGAGTTAAGGACGAGAAAAGCCTCCGAAACAATGCAACGAGATATCTCTGATGTTGCGACACGCACTCACGATAGGTGTACTTCCCAGTTGGTCGTCCCTCTAATTCACAATCGTCACCGACGTGTGAGATCTAACGGGTGTCGTGTCGGAGTGCAACGACGAAATGCCGCATCGTCCTTGACATCGAACAAGCGCGTCGCGCAAACAACTGATACAAAAACTGGTACAGACTTGATCACACCTCCCGAAGTGATCTGGGGCAGCTTCGAGAACAATCCTGCGTCTGAGTCCCGACAATTATCGTCGCTGCCTCATACACATGATATCGCGAACTGGGACGACGACGAGGATCGAACACCTTTGTAAACAATCTGTCCTCATAAGGTATGGAATGGCGGAGAGTTTCGTTACAGTCGTACAATCATATTGTCTCAGCCGACAGCTTTTTCACGGCGTGAGAGAGGAAGACTAGCTCGCAGCTCACTATCCCGTACTGCGGTACACGCTAGCGGTTTTCTCTCGCGCGCCACCCCCTCGCGCACCCCGTCGACCCCTCCGACCGCAGTATTCTGCCTTTTCTCTCTAGCTAAGCACCATCAAGCGCGCGCTGTCGCGCTCTCGTCCCCTCTCTCTCCCTCCCGCTATCATTGCGCAGGGGTGTAATCGTCGTTTCTCCCACTCGCTCCCGTGGAGCGTTGTCCTCCTTCGTCTCTTCACCGTCCGTCGACGCCGTCGTGAAAGGGTGCACATACACGCACATGGCGCCGCGCCGTTGTCAAGGCGACTGCGCCACTTCGGAGTACGTCGACGGATCTACTCTACCTCTCATCATCTCAGCTTAGCAGTCCGTCATGTCCAAGTTGCCCGTGGATCTCTTGTGTACCGTGAATGACAAATGACCGCGGAGCATTGATATAAATGACAATAACACAGACGATTTATTCACTCCTTAACAGTGGATCATGTTTCTGGTTTCTTTATCGTTGAACCTCTTGAGAAGAACGACACTACAGAGCTACAGTCAGAGGCAATTTGCAAATTTTGTGTCAAGGAAAGAACGCATGCTTTCGTGAGTCTGTCTTTTTTTCTCAATGCAATGCTCTGAAATCGAGAAGAAAGTTATAATGTTGAGTAGAATAAAGTACTAGGTATATCTTTTTCCTAAAATTACTTATGTTGCTTTCTAGTCACAAACGGATTTACTTTAAATAATTATTTTTACTAGAATACTTTTTTTTCTGATATTTCATTAATTATTTAATAATTGATTTTTTCGTACTTGTGTTAAGCTCTGTGAATGAGCATCCCTGTTTGATCGGCGAGATTAACACGCGCTCTATTAAGGCTTGCATTTTTGGGGCGGTGGGTTATTTCCGGTGTAACGGAACAGGATGAATGGACGACTCGAGAGACAGCATCGATTGGCACCGGGAGTCGAGCCAAACTTGCGTGACGAGCTTGCGCGCTGTAACGCAGGTGGAAGGCTTGAAATCTAAGTGAACCACGTGGTTCGCTATACTGTGTGCACCGAGTTTGCGTAATAAAAAGTGTGGACGTCCGAGAAACTAACAGACGCTTTTTAATGGGACCTTTTTATACTATTTGCAATCTCACGATCGCCATTTTCATGCAATTTCATGCTTTTTTACATACGAAAGTTTAGAGATAAAGATTTACGACACGCGAAATAAAACCGTGCTTGTTAGCGTTTATAATGAAACTTAGAAATAAAAAAGCTTTTTTATTTCTTGCGGCTTAAAATATAAATTATTATTATATAAAAATATATTTTGCAAATCTTTTTGAAATATGCGAGTCTAAAAAAAATTATATGACTGTTTATAAATAATTTATAAAATAAAGATATAAAAAATATTATAAGTTAAAATAATTTTGTTTGTAATTAAATGTTGCTACTGCAATATACATAATTACTATTAACAATTGATATAATTTTGACGTCATCATTACTTTTTTGTTCTTCTTGGATTAAGTAAAATATTCTTACAAGAAATATTTTCTTATTAATATTCTAATTTAACTATTATATTTATTTATGAGACATTGATAAAATATCTATCTTTTATGTGATAAACAATTGTTACATGACAAATTAAATAGTATATTATATAAATTCTCTACATTTCGCTTTATTAATAAATTCTTCTTTGGTACATTTGAATTAATTAAATAAATAATAAAATAAATTCATTTCGGCAATTTTACCTTGCAAAATAAAATAAAAAATTTATTATCTGCAACTATTATTTATCTCAAAGAAAAATTTAATTAAAGTTCCTAAATTTTTTATTACTTAAAGACATGTTGACGACAGTATTACTAATATATAAAAAAATATTATATAAAAAAAATTATAAATAAAGAAATAACCGTGTGTATAACAATTCTGCTATAATAAATTGAAAAGGCTATTAAAAAATTATTGCACAATTGCAAGCCAAAAACGTAATATATATACATATCATCGATTGAAATGGTTTAAAGAACAGCGCTTTTGCCTAAGATTTCGTGAGGATAATAGCGAGAAGACAAGCGTGTATAACGAATACACATTGCTTCATTTCAAGAATATATCGCTCCTCAGTTGCACATTCATTTTGACAGTAGACTGCACCAATTGAGCTAATGGAGACGCAGATTTGTGTTTGCACATCAGATGCGTAGTTTGATTGATACATAATAAATCTTCAAAATCGATCGGGTGATTCAATGGCTTTTAACTCGCGCCGCGCGTATTTTATTTTATGCATTATTGCAAAAATTGCTTACATCAAATAAATATTTGCATAAAAATACTGTCACATTTAAAAAAGAAAATAAAGTTGTAAATTTATTCCATATATTGTTTTAATGCGGTGTGATAGCATTAATTGAGAATAGCACAAGATTTAAATTGCAAATGATGTAATAAAATATTCTCAACGGTAACATTTTCCGTACACTTTGTACACACGGTAAACAATATATTCATAGTTAGTATTTTTAAATCCAATATGTTTTATTTTTTATACGCGAAACATATAAAGATGATAATGTAATACAATATCTCTAATTAATATTTCTCATGCCATGTATAAAACATAATACATTGCCCACATTAGCTTTATAATCTATGCAACTGCAATTTCGCAGGCTTTTATTGCTATTTATAATTTCTACCGCATATAATGTACTGTGATTCAGAATTTAATTAGACCAAACAACTCGCGGAGATTCAATGCACGATTAATTTGGTTTCTGGACGATATGCTGCTTTCTGCATAGGAACGTGCCGTGAATTTCATTAATAACGTCTTGGTATACAAAGGCAAATAATTTGAAGGTATGAGAATATCGTCTTGATGCAAATTTCATTCATTTTAGTTAATAATATTTGTGTAGAAACTTGTATATTGAAAATTTCTATAATTAGCATTACACAAGTGCGTAAAATATTTTAAAATAAGTTAATTGTTTATAATCAGAAATTATTATCTGTACGTATCAATCGCACGGTTAAAGATATTTATATACATGTATGTTAAAAATTAATATTAATATTAAACTCAAAATTGCGATTTTATCATAAACTATTTATGATGAATAGCTTATTGAAATTCATCATAAATTTCCCATAATCTCTCGAGTATCCACACAAGATTAGGTGGACCAATCCATTTTTGACAAATCCCTTGGGGCTCATGGAATACCAAATAGAATGAGACATTCAATGAATAACAAGGTAAATCTTGTGGGATTTAGCTAAACCGAAAAAACTTAAACCAAGATTCTCGTGAAAGTGAACCTTTTCACTAAGCGTCTTGTGATATATTATTTTCTCAGTATTAGAGTGCTATACTAATTTATTCTAATATTTAAATTAAATACAATAAACTTTCATAATATATTACAAATAAAAAAATTAAACTTAGATTTTTATAAAAATTAAATATATTTAAATAAGAGTTTAATTTTATAATATTGCTCCAAAAGACAAACCGTGCCCTAACAGCACGTCCTCAGGATAATCCTGAATATATACTAAATTCAGGAACACGTAATATTATATATTTTTATTTTACGTAGTAAAATATTTGTAAATTACTTATCTATAAATTTTTTCGACATACTAACAAGAAAATTTCAAGATGTTGAGAGGATTAGAACTAGGACAAATAAGCATCTAAAAAATGTTCTACAAATAATCGTCAGAATATTTTAATTCCAAAATCCTAAAGATATCCGATTAAGATATTCATAAATCTTGAGATTCATGTGCCTATCCGAGCAGTACGCGACATCATCGATCACAGATCGACTTCTATTTCTCGCAAATAAAAAAACTAAATAGAAAAGAATTAAAAGGCGTAGTATTATTAGATTTTTCACGGAATTTTTGAAAATATTAATAATTAAAAATATTAATAATATTTCATTGAATGCGAGTCCCTAAATAGAAGACAAAAATAAATGAGAGATGTATATCGACAATACAGTTTTTGATTCTGTATACAAATTAATTTAGGTATTTTATAATTCCTGAAAGTTGTTTTATAATTTCTGAATGTAGATAACATAATGGTCACACAATGACGGGAATACAACATCAAAGAAACGAGAGTTTGCTAATTGGGCAGATTATGGATGTTCCAAGGATTACGTGCGAAGGAGATCCTCTTTAAGACTTTGGATTGTCCACTGGATGTATGCAGAGTATAATGAGGTGCTCATTTGTTAGTCCTCAGGACATCTTGAGTAAGTTTCAAGACTGTGACAGGTAGACTTCATGATATTCCGCTCAACTAACAAGACGTTCCTTAGACCATCTAAAGAACATCCCCCTGCATAGGATGATCTGTTGAAATGTAAGGAGGGTATTCAATCCTTATGGAAAGTATGGAGTTTTCCAAATCCAGAGATCCCGTGGGCGTGGAATTCCACATCCTGAATTCGGGATATTTATAAAAAATTTTATTTTAATAATTATATTTAAATGAGCTAGTTCTTGCGTGATATCGAGACAAAATTAAAAGTAAAATACTCATATTTGTAAAGAAAAAATATGAAAAGAAATTAAATATAGAAGTAAAAATATATTTCGACATACAACAGAAGAAATAAAATATTTGTGTTATTACCCCTTCCTCCTCCTCCGCTTAGATGAGATACTTCACACCCTGCAGGAAATTCAAAGTCTTCGTCCCTGCTAAAATGTATAAACTTACATTTAAAGCATGTAAATGTAAGTGTATTTATTTCAGTCCATCTTATTTAATAGAAATTAAAACTTTATGTAATTTAATTGAGATTAATAAATATTTATCAAAATTTAATAGATTTAGTAGCAATCTTATTTAAATAATGTGACATTCGTGAAAATGAAATTCTTGTTTTATGATAGAAATAGAAGTATCAATTAATTTCATAGTTTCAGAATTTTATATTTTAATACGCTTACGTAAAACATAAAAAAAATGTACTAAATTTAGTTTTGTAGATACTATAGGTCTATTTTTTTAATAGCTGAACTGGCTACACTAGTTCAGAGTTTATCTTTCTTCTTTCAATGTAGAAAGAGAAGGAAACTGTGAATTAGTGCAACAGTTCAGCTATAAAAAACAGGCCTTTTAATATTTAATCAGTATTGCGTGCAAAATAATATTTAAAAAAATAACGTAAATTGTTACTTAAAATTAATGATTTAATAATCATCTTAATATTTTTAATTAACAATTTACGTTATTTTTTAAATAGATTTCACAATGTTTATTTGATTTTTCATAGAAAGTTTTCTCTTTTTATTTAGGTCTACATAATTATAGTAGTGCAATAATTATGAAAAAATTTTAAATATTCAGTTTACCATCTACGTAATGCAATCCTATTAAGCTTTTATAAATATGAAAGGGGCGCAATCTAGGAATCAGCAAGAGCATCTTGCGGTAGTATAAGACCGGAGCTTAAACACAGTGAAACTCTGGCACAATGGATGCTGTGCAGTCGATAAGGCAGCAGGGTGACTATGTTGCATCCTCCTTGTTCTCGAATAGGATGACAGTATACCTATTGTTGACCCACAAAGTATATGTCTCCTCATGCAGTAGTTTCGAAGGTAGCGAACATGCAAGAATGTCTTGAGTGAGTATGTGCCAAGCACACTTCATCTCTAGAAGTATGTCAAGTAGGTCACAAATAGGCCAGTTGAAGAGTATGTATACTAAATTAGAGTAGCATTTTCAAAATGGTCAATTTTAATGGATCCAGAAGTTTCTACCTTATCAATATTGAAATTATCAGAAGAAAATGGAAAAGTGAAAAAACAATAAACTTTTTCAATACTAAAAGCGGTTTTTCTAAAAAATAAAAAGTTTAAGCAATTACTTTTCTATACTTAATTGTACAATTTAATATGAAGATTACATGAAAAATTATGTAGAAATTTAACATAATAAATTTAATTAAATTTTTCTATAATAAATACACTCAACAGCAAAATTAAAGCATCACCCATTCTGATCACTAAAAATTTCAAGAGAGTGTAACTTCGTCAAAAATGATCGTTTCGGAATGATCAAAAAAGCATTTTAAAGCTTAAAGTCTCTACATTCGACACCCATAATTCATTAAATTACTTACTGATTCTTTACAAAGCTGCACAAATGCTGTCTCTTATACACATCTCTGA